TGGGCTGTGAGCTCGTCCACCCATCTAAGCAATAAAAACTAAAAATAATAATAATTCGACTTTATAAACTTTAGAATATGCTTTAAGCCTAATTACTTTGTTACTTTTTTACTGCTATCACATTATTTAATTTATTACGAAGTATATGATTTATTACTATTTAAGTTAACGCAGTAAATATAACAAATAGTGTTAAATATTTCTTATTCGATCTCATTTTGAAACACGTTCTATGATCACGAATTGCGAGTAGAAGTGAATGATAAAAACGCTTTTTAAAAACTATAACATTACATTCATATGTAATGATTGTAAATTTTGTATAGTTATATTCAAAACTAGGTTTGTGGAGTTTATTTATTTATTTGATTATTTAGCTTTATTCAGAAGAGTACATGAAGTAATTGTTGGACTTTGTGCTTAAAGGTCAAAGCTCAAAGCTCAAAGGTAACAGTCAACCAAAGGTAGTATAGAGAGTACAATAGCAGATGCATTTGTTTTATTAAAAAAATATTACAATAAAATATTAAATACAAAACGCACACAACGTACATACACACACACATAAAATACTACACCGCATATTTTACAATAAAATAAATTAATATACAATTCACACCTATATATCCACATACTCGTACGTATTATTTACACATTTATACAAAATATATTACGTATTTATCAATTTTTTTCATAAGATCGATTTAAAGCCCCCGGTATGACAATTGAATTTCGATAGGTGATAAAATGTAGAGATGATAAAATATACTTTAATGTTTTTCCATTATATATAAAGTAATTTATAATCGCTTAACAATTAATTATTAATTATAATGTTTTATTATATAAAATTTTTTCGCTCCTCTATTTTTAAACGTAATAAGTAAATGGTTTACTTGACATTTTATTTCACTAAATACTATTGAGTAACTGACATAACATTTAATGTAACATTAATTCATGAATACAAAATACATATTTTATCGTATCTATAATATATATCTATACTTCAATACTAATATTATAAAGACGAAAGATTTGTTTGTTTGTTTGTATTGAATAGGCTCCGAAACTACTAAACCGATTTGAAAAATTCTTTCACTATTTGGAAGCTACACTATTCCCGAGTGACATAGGCTAAAATATTTTTTGAAAAAAATTAGTGATCCTTACTAAAACTCCAATAATGTAAGCCAAGGTATAAAAAAATGACCTAAAATATTCTTTACATCGCGTGCCCTGCGAAAAGTGTTAATGATAGAATAAAATAATGTACTACGACTTTGTAGAACACATTATTATTTACAAAAAGTGTCGCGGCAGCATATGTCTAACTATTATAGTTATGCCGCAATAAGTGTTATGTTATTAAAAATCATAAAACAACGTCAAATATCGTTGAAATGTTTGTTAAGGACCCGAGAGGAGCCGGAGGGGCCGCTAGTAAATTAATAAAAGTCTAAATATGCAGAATTATATGAGATGCATTAACGAACCCCTCTGCCTAGTGCAATATCAATTGCAGACTAATGAAATTGCCATAATTGCTTAAGTACAGAATTAGCACGGAATATACCGTGAAAGTGCAGTCATTTGCTGTAAGCATGCACAGTATTATCTCTATTCTGTTTTGTTGTTATAGCAGTAAATAAGTATCATTTGATTGGGTACACTAAAAAGTCTATTTTTTTTTTTAAAGTATCATAAACTTCAAATTGTGGGACCGTAGTGTTACGACATAAATCATCGTGAATAAAAGTAGTCCGCTCACAATTTTCTGTATTTCATTTTCATTCATCATTCTGTATAACATCATTTTATGATATCTTTTTCTTATCCAAATATATAGAAAAACACTCATTCGTATTTCTCAAATTTAGGTTTCATTTACATTTGTTTAAGTTTTGTATTTTATAAATTTACTTATGTAAAATAGTCCACTTTCTTGTCCTCGTATACATTGTAGTATTAACGCCTATTCAATTATTGAACCCAAAATTAATTCAAATTTATTGGTAGCATTATCGATTAGCCTCCATGGATGTTCTTATTACAAAAATTGGTGCCTCTTAAATTTCTTATGCCACTTTGTTAGTTAATTGGTGAAGAAACGAATGAAAATGTGGTGAGACGAAATGAAAATTAGGTTGGTAAGAGAGTATAAACTATAAATGTGGAAGGATATAGAGGAAGAGGTAGACTTAAGAAGAAGTGGATGGATTGCGTGAAAGACGATATGGGTAAGAGGGGAGTGAGCGAAGAAATGGTATATGATAGAAGAGTATGGAAGGAGAAAACATGTTACGCCAACCCCAGGTGACTGGGAGAACGACAGGAGAATGATGACTTTGTTAGTTAGATTTAGATTGGCGGGAGGCTTTATTCACGATGTAATGTGTGTATGTGTTAAGGTACATCTAGTAGGCCGAGAACTCTTTCACGCATCGAACAGAAAAAACAGAAAAACACTTTTTTATCTGAAGTATCGAGATCATATTTTTGCACGTTACTTATCCACTTACTACGCGATTAACAAGATAATTATGAAACTGTGCTCTCGACTTTTCCACCGATAAATTGCTCTAAATATTCCAAATAAATTTCTAAAAACATCATTTTAGGTAACTTCAACAATTTTCGACAACACTGTTTGACTTGAGATAGATATTATCCATTCCTTAATGCGGCTACACGAAATAAAACTATTTTATGATTATGATACATCGCTCGTTTTTTTATTGTACAATACGACTCGGTCATAAACTATTATGTATATGTATTCCTTAAGCAAATCGTTTCAATGTCATGATTTTAGAGTTTTAAGTCTTCAGTAAACACACGCTTTCAAAGATGTAGGCTTAAGCGATTAAGCTAATCATTATCGACACGCATGCCTGTAACAAAATATGAAAGCAGCAGTCTAAGTCGCCAACTGTGAGTACTCGGGAATTCCATTCACGTATCTACAAGTCATCCACCTATGAATACTAGAGAATTTGCATATCATACAGATAAGTTTTTTAAAACACAAACATACGTACCTAATACCAACATCACTATTACCACTGTTAATGATAAAACTTTAGATCTATTTGAACATTGTCCAATGCTTTAGCCGGCAAAAAAGATCAAGTTTACAGATTTTCATATCCTACCGTCGGTACTAGAGAATTTAAGAGTAAGGAATTAGGTAGCTATACTGGAGATCTGGCTACTACTGAAGGCGATTTGAGATATCCAGTCCGCACGAAGCTGGAATAACCTTTAGGCTACCATCGAATAGGCAGGGAAAAGCAACTTAAGAAGTTAGATGAGATGTAAGTATCGTTTTTTGTTTATTTAAGAAAGTCCAAACTTTTTTATTTATATCTTAAAATTTCGTTCCGGAGTAAATCGGTATTACCCACGCTTCCCAATTAGTTGCCACACTGATTATTATCACGGAGATACGTTGACTTTTGTGTGTACTATCGTAAACTTCACGTAAGCGAGTCTTATCGGTATTACACCAGTCTACAAGCGCGACAAATAACTTAATACTCGAAACATAACTTTTTTAAGGCACAACGTTGATTTTAGTGTTTCCTTCGGTTTTGGTGAGTCGCACATACTCGATATTATTCAATGGATCAATGACTGTGACCGCAAAAACTGTATAACATTCGACACGTCGGAAATAGTGTAATGACAATAAAAACGCGGGATTAAATCGTAAAACTAGTTTTAAATAAACCATAATTTCTCTAGCAAAATTCTAAATCTATTTTGTTACGCAAAAAAAAAAACACAACAACATCGATTCTCCATTTTACTGCTGTCGTGTAAAAAGAGCGATTTGTAGATCGTGGAAATTCATACAAGTTCAGTGATCATCATGAGTCATTACCGCCATTAAAACTACAGGATTATACAATTACGCTAATCGGTTAATACAATTAATAGTTCGTTCGAATACCTTATCAAATAACAAATAAAACACAATACAAAAAATGTGTTAAAACAGTTAAAACAAAGAATTAAAAATCGATTTATAACGATATTATATATTTATATCGTACACAAAACAGAAAGACTACTTACTCTACACAACAGTGACTTATGTTGCGATGGTAAAAAAGATAATATTATAACCTCAAATAGCTCAGAACACTTTCAGACTGTGATGAACTGGGATTCGCGATCTTAGTTACTAAGTCAAACATCGACACGTCGATTTACTAATTAGTCACAAATTACGGATTTTTTATTTTAATAATAATTTTTAAAAAATACGTAAACAATCTAATCTGCTTGCGGATGCCCCTCCTACTTCGTTTGGAACAATAAAACCGCCGCAACAACTGATAATTGAAAAACAATTAGTATTACGTGCACTTAGAGATTTTTAGCGCTTAAGACACAAGAAGTTCAACTTCTTCCGTCCTTGTTTTGGGAAATGGGAACAAACCGTTTGACTTTTTAATGAGATTATTAAATGTGAACATAGCACAATCATAAGAACAGTCTTCCATAGTGCCGATACTATCTAATTATAATGATTGAGCTAGATATAATTAACGATTCCTAACAGTCTTATTAATATACTAGTGCAAGTATAAAAAACAAATTCAAAGCAGGATCCAAGCTGTTTTAAACTTCTGAATAATGTAATACATGATTGGTATTATAGTTTTTGTTTTGGACTTTTTGGAACGCAGTTCCTTATGGGACGATGCGGAGGGTTACCCTAACCGGGAAAAATGTCCGTAACCTAAGATTTTTATTAGTAATGCACACAGTGTACGACTTAACTTTATAATAACGTACAAAAAATAATATATTTTTTTATCATTCATTGACCACGATCTCAGAGCGTTCGTTTGCGCAATACACTAACTCTTATGCAAACAACCGTGAATGAAGTGTACCACAATAAGTTCACACGTTACCGAATGGCCGTGGGTTGTTGCCAAAACCTCCAGTTTTAGTTTCTTTATACATCGAATAGAACTTAAAATTAATATTTTTATAATAAGGAACTTCGTTCCTATCCGGTGTCTCACGACACCACACATCTTTTTTATTCCACAAAATGTGTGGACAACCTAACGGCCCGTCTGGTTACCGGAATCTAGAGATATCACAACGTAAATGCCACCACCCAGGTCGAAGTCTCAAGTCTATTTTTTAAAGCCTGTCTCGCTCTTCAAATCTGAACGCATGTGTACTTAGCTGCAGAAATAGACAGGGTGGCAATACTCAATAGAGTGGGCGCACAACGTACCATACCGATACAAATCCTTATTAGTACCTACCTAGGGGGCGTTGTAAATCGACGGCAGCCATTGATCGATATAACAATAGATTCGAAACTTCGGTTATTTTGTTTTTAAATTACAATATAATAGGTACATTAGTAGACTTTTAGGTCAATTAACTTTTCGACAGTACATTATAGGCACAATTTACATCAATCTAGGCTTCTGCTTGGCATATAATGGTGTATCCTCAAAACGTTAATAGCAAAAATAGTTTTACCGATACGTAGTCGCATCAGTCTACGTAGAGCCTGTCGAAATATCAGCTAGCATCGATTTGGAGGATCCCACCACTTTCTGAAATTCTCGTACACAGATATACTTTTCACTTTGTCTTCCTGATTCAGTATAGTACAAAATAAGCAGTACTCATCTGTATCGACTCTTCTGAATTTTCTGAAGTACGTGTAATGATTTTTCCATTTAAACATATCGATGTAACGATCTGGTGTTTTTATCAGGTATGCCATTTTTTCAGCTAATGCGGCTGCTCCTAACTCCCTCGCATTCAAATAAATCCCTTCAGGCATGAACCTGAAATCCGATTTTACATTTGTATTAGAAGTAATACTATGTTATCAATGTAATCATCTAATATGCACGAAGATCATTCATCATTATCCTGCCCTTCCTGCCGACTGCTCCCAGTCACCTGGGGTCGGCGCAACATGTTTTCTCCTTCCATGCTCTTCTATCATATACCATTTCTTCGCTCACTCCCCTCTTACCCATATCGTCTTTCACACAATATGCACGAAGATATTATCATAAATTTTAGTTTACATGAGACATTAAATATATTATGTATGTAGCTGTTGCATTTTAATAAATAAATTTAAAACGATTAATTCTAAAAAATTAATTTAAAGATAATGAATTCGAAGAATAATTTGGTTTAAATATATCGTGCTTATAACACAGCGTGGGTTTTAGTTGTATGGGCTTATCGTTAAAGCGAATGAGTCAATAAAATTAATCGTTTACATTATTCTGCTTATTCCATACATTTAGAATCAAACATCTGCAAAAATAATATTAATACGTTAAATATTCTTAAAATTGATTCAGTTTTAAATAAAAACTGACTGTAGTTTAATTTGAGGTTATATGTATTTCATGACTGTCAATTGCCTCTTGTTCAAATATAGTTGATTTAAGGTAAAGGAAAGTAGATACCTACCGTGTCAAATTTAGTTAAAGCATAGTGCTAAAAGATATTAACATAGAATGAAAGAGGCAAGATGACTGAAGAATCGAATGAAATATAGTAATATTACATCAGCTCTCAGAAAAAATTGTCAGAATTAGATTAGAAATTAAAAAAATAAATATTTATTTAATGCAATTACCTGGTGTAGTTAGCACCGCCATACACTACAGGAACAGCGTCGAATTCTAGGGCATGTAATAATTTTTCTGTGACATAATCTTCACCAAATGAGTTTTCAAACGACAAGTAAAAGTAATATTTTTCTCTGATCATTTCATCACATGCCTCTTCTGTGTCCCGGGAACATTTAAGGTTTCCACATCTGCCGTAGATATCTAGTTCTAAATTATACTTTTTCAGTTCCACTTGAAGTTCATTAGCGAAATCTTCCCTTCTGCTTCTTGTGTAACAATTTGACACAAACCACGCTGCGGCCTTAGACTTAGACTTTAACTGTATTTTGAAATCCTCGCTGACCGGTTCCATGTCTTCAATTTTCATCCAGTGCATTATTTTATTCGGTCCAATAACGTTTTCGTTTTTATCTTTGACATTGAAATATCCCCATCGGACTTCCGAATCCAGTCGGAATGTCCATGTCCAATTAAAGTAACCGTCAAATCGATTTGAGCAAACTGGGTAATTGTCCGAGGATTCTATTGTAGCGAATGCGTATTTTTGATGCGGTGACCTCTTTTCAGGCAAAGTTTTTTCCGACATGCGTACCACGTCAGGTCCTGCGAAAGCTATCACGTCGAATTTTGTATAATCACCGAGCAAATTGCGGTCCGCGGTCACAAAACAATTGGTGTGTGGGCATTTTCTTTGTATAAAACCTTCCTGTCCTTTTCCCATGTAAGCAAATGGTACTCCCTGCGCAGAAGTCCACTGAAGTATGTATTTTAATTTCGGTGCCTCATTTGGTTCTGTCGTTTCTTGTTTTCGTGTTGCTTGAGGTGTCGTCACGACTTCAATATTTTTTATTTCATCATTTTCGGTAATAATTTTATAACCGTTTAAAAATTGCTCATGGATAGTCACGTCCTTGAATGTTTTTAGAAATAATAACAAGATCACCACAAAAAATAAGAATAAAAAGAATGTTTTTTTATTTAATATATTCCTCATTTTACGTTAACTATAAATCGATTTGCTGGCTAGCTGTATTGGCCGCTGAATCAACACTGAGTTTCTTTCATGAACGCACGATACAATATCAGGATATGAGTTTATCTAATCTGTTTATTAGGCACACGAGTAAGTATAGTGCTTCGCAAACGGCTCAATGTGAAAAAAAATAGGTTCACGAAAATGAAATTAGTAAAATATATTTTTACAATTATTAATTAATGTGATTATCAAAATGGAGTTAAACATCAAACTAAATTATACAGTACATTAAATTCAAAAATGTTAAAACTGTCTCACGTATAAAAACAAAGTTCACTTGACATAGCTAATTATGAAACTAAAGTATTAAATTAATCAGTATTGATAACATACTCGCTTACATAAATAACCGTGATATAAATTTTTTACAAAATAAAACACAAACTTTGAATTTGAATTTGAATTTGACTGATACACATTATATGTGAGTAACTTCAAATATTCGTACTTATGCACCGAAGTCTCTTAGATGCAAGCATAATAGCATTTATTATGATAACTATCAACAATATTTTGCAAAGAATAGCTATTTGATGGACACAAACATAACTTCAAACGACTGGCTCTGATAATTGATTTAATATTAACTTAAAGCTTATTTATTTGTTTAAAATAATAATAAACTGATGTCGAGGGAGATAATTTTATTCATTTATGAAAAAATATATACATACTATTTTATTTATAATTAATTATTATATTATTAAGCCGGTAACTATGCTAAGGAAGGAAAACCGTTTGCGCTCAATAAATTTCAAACTATAGGTATTTCATTACGTAAAATGTATTTGTTTTTATTTAATTACTTATCAACAATCAGTACTATTCTTGTCATGCCATTCGGAAACAGTACGATCACAGCACGTTATCCAAACGAAAATGTACAAAAATTGGTTGATTACTCAATCACACTACAACACCTACCACTGCATAATAAAATATTTTTCAATTTAAATTTTATCGACACAGTTCCGTTTTTACTTTTTTGTACAATAATAATAAATAGAACACTTTACTATTATTTTTATTTATTAACACCGGCCCTTCGGATTCCACCATGAATTAAAATCTTCATAAACAGTTGCCTTATCAAATACTGTTTTGTTATTAATTATTGCGCACAGCTTGCAAATGCTATCACTTTCCGGAGATTCATACACGTCGTGATAAGAGTAATGATTATGCCACTTAAAAAATCTTTTATACTTTTTCTTGTCTTCGTAAATCTCAATCATTTGTCTTGCAAGTTCTTTCGCGCCTAAATCTCGACCGTTTAGGTAGGTACCATTAGGCATGAACCTATAACATAAGAACAGTTGAATGGCAACTAAGTTGTACTGTTTTTGAAATGTATTTACTCATTGCGAATAAAGTATAACTAGATGATGACCGGTTTTTTTTGATAACGCCATCTTGTTGTGCCTTTAAAGCGGTTAGTTGCCCTCAATTAAGAAAAATAGTATTATTATTCGCCAATAGATGTCGGGAAGAGTTGACTATTGAAAACACGAATAAAACAACATTTTCTGAAAATAAATCGTAGCTAGATCGATTTATCGCCCCCCAAAATCCCCTGTATACAAAATTTTATGAAAATCGTTGGAGCCGTTTCCGAGATGCAGATTATATACATATATATTAATATACAAGAATTGCTCGTTTAGAGGTTTAAGATTATATTAAGATTATAAGATTATATGAGCTGAAAATATGTCTTCGTCTGCGTGTTTACTATCTATATATGTGTTTGTAGACGTATATTATGCATTTAAATATCAGTCTCTAGTTCCTATAATACAGGGAATCCCAATTTGGGGCCGGAGGGCCGTGCGCGACGTGTTCCCGGTATTTATTTATACATTGTATTAATCTAGAGAATTCCGATATTAATATGTATGTAACTATTATACTGAAAGTTACATCTGGGTCGAGATGAGCCGCAATTTTTACCGAAAAATGCAATGAAAAAATAAATAAAAGAAAACACATAACTTTCGTGAACTTTTGTTTTTGACTATTCTTCATTTATTTTAACATTATTTTATCTGGTTGACCTTTAGGTGTGATATTTTAAATAGCGAATGAACAAATTACCTCGTATAATTCGCAGCACCATAAACGACTGGAATGGCGTAGTTTCGAATTGCGGTCAATAATTTTTCAGTTACGTAATCTTCACTTAAAGAATTTTCAAAAGCGAAGTAAAAATAGTAGTCCCTTTTTATCAATTTAAAGCATTTGCTCTCGTCATCGCGTGGACAAATTTTATTTCCACATTCTCCGTATACATCAACTGACAAACCGTGTTTATTCAATTCCCTTTGGACTTCTATAAAAAAATAGTCTCTGCCACTAGGAGCTCTACAGTTAGAAACAAACCACGCAGCAATTTTTGTTTTGCGACTCAACTTTATTTCAACTTCTTTGGTCACAGGATCCATTTCTTCAATTCTTAACCAATCCATATCTTGTTTAGGTCCTATAATAATACCCTTTTTATTTCTAACTATAATATAGCCGTTGTACTCATCAGAATTTAACTTATAAGTCCATGTCCAATTGAAAAAGCCTTTAAATCTAACGTCGCATATTGGATAGTAGTCAGAAGATTCCATGGAAGCAAAAATATATTTTTGGTGAGTAGATCGTATTTCCGGCATGGCAGGGAGACTTCGTACAATCTCTTTACCATGAAAAATTATCACTTCAAACTCAGTTATATCTTTGAAAAAATGTCTGTCTGAAGTGACAAAACATGATTTTACTGGGCATTCTCTTTCGACGAACGTCTGTTGGCCATTTCCCAATTTCACGATTGGGTCTATTGCTGGATCCGTCCATATAAGGATGAATTTAATATTTTCGTGGACAGTTTTATTGAGTTTGGTTATTCTTGTACTTTTTATAATTGGTTGGCTTATAGTATAAACCATTAGATTTGAAACGTACCATACAAACACGCCAAGTGCACATACCGAGTAAAATGCTAGTTTAAATATGGTGTTATTTAATCTGAACATTCTATCTGAAATATGAAATGAAAAAATTAGCTTCCTAAAATTGACTTCTTGAAACTACAGCGTTGAAATTTTAACTACATTTAGTAAAGAGCAACTTAATTATCAGCAAAAGAGCGTAATGTTTAGATGCATAGTAACAAAATGCAAAGACAACTTCTTATATACTTAAATTTTATTCTCGTTATAACAACGACGAAAAAAACCAGACGAGGCGGACTAAACTAGCACAACATGGTAATAATGGCGCTATGAAAACTCCTCGCTAGTCAGTAAGTTCTCTTGAAGGCTGTTTTAGAAAATAAAAACTTCTTTAAAAACGGCCCACTCCTAGTTCTGCTACATGTGTATCAAAACAAAATCTTATGAATCTTTTGAAATGTTTAATTTGAAAGGAATATTACGTCTAGTCTTGGGTAGTAAAGTGGTCCTTATATGATAAGTTGGCACCTGCGCTTACGCGTTTCTATCGGCTTTCTCAAAACACTAACAGGGTTCTTTCTTTGTTGAAGACCGTAAATACCCACCCACGTCATTTTATCAGTGACCGACAGTACGATTTTTCGTAACGGCAGAACGCGTCGGCAATTTTCTCAAGACTGACGATCTAGATTGTAGTGTATCTATCATGTTCACGACGCGACAGGCTAACTCTCAGGTCCATCGGGGTATCCTAGAACTCGAGTTGCATCACATCTGTGGCTTGAGAGGCCGCTGACCATGTTAGCCACATGCAGTCGTTTTCGTTAACGAATCCGCTGGTCTCCCGGATTCTATCCCTAAAGGCTCGCAAGCTCAGGCTAAGAGTGCAGGGGAGATCTTGAGTCCCTTAAACTGCGTTCTTCGATCTTTGGTTACATAAACAATGAAGTACTCAAATAAACGATGAACACATTTAGTGCATTCAAAATGTCACTATCACACTGGTTATTTACCAGCGAAATGTATTCGAAATATAATAGATCCAATTCATAACTTACATTAGCAACCTTCACATTTAATCAACCATTTAATTTAAGCAAAATAGTAATCCTTTAATTTTATACAATAACACCATGTTGTTACAAATCTAACGACACACTGAATTTGGTACAGTTATAATTCATATCTATCATATCGCCATACTTCTGATTTTCAATGTTTGTTACTGATAAGTATTATCGAAAAATATGGACAAATAAAAGACGAATTACGTATTTAAGCTCTATTCTGTACAACTTTGACATGAACCATCGTCGCCTTTCAAATATATAATTGACTTTAACCCCGATATTTGCTAACATAATGTATTAATAGCTTCTTCAAAAAATATCCGAAAAGTAAAACGAATACTCAACGACTTAACTGCTTGTTAGCTATATTGAATACTTTCCACCAGTTATAAAATTACCAGTGACACGTTTGTTTTAAATTCTACTGGATACTGAAAAATGAATACGTCATTTTTCTATAGTTCAGTTGCTGTCATACATTTTTCACCTACATTCGTACCAAAATCCGCGCGAAGAACTCACTCCTACTAGTAAATTGTGTACGTTATGTGCAGCAAGGTGATCCACTGAGATTCTCGGTCGACTGATAATAAGCCGCGCGAAATGAATTTTGATCCGAGTCTCGTTTCGATATATCAGCATATATCGAGACTCGGGTATAATATTATGCCATATGTACACATACAAGGAATAATCCTAGATATTTGCATGCTATTAGACTGGTGTACCGTTCATTTAGATTCGTGAAAACTTGTACTGTATTTGTTTAGGAAATTCTTAAGGACAAACTACGTATTTTCTGGCATTCATCAATAATGAAGTAACCAATCACTACAACTACTAACTACTGACGATTTAATAAAAAAATTATTTTGATGATTTTACTTTTTTTTTATTGCTTAGATGGGTGGACGAACTCACATTTCACCTGGTGCTAAGTGATTACTGGAGCCCATAGACATCTACAACGTAAATGCGACACCCACCTTTAGATATAAGTTCTAAGGTCTCAGTATAGTTACAACGGCTGCCCCACCCTTCAAACCGAAACGCATCACTGCTTCACGGCAGAAATAGGCAGTGCAGACTCACAAGAGGTCTTACTACCAGTAAAGGTTTAAAAAGTTAAACTTTACAACTTTATTGTGCGAGTTCGGGGTATTTTTTTAGTTTTTTGTCCGAACTTATTTTGGGTATCAGCATGGAAAATTATGTTAATCTGTTTGAAGATCAGGACAGCTACATTTCAACGCATTTGATATTTCGTTCTAGTTGTCAAGGTCTGTGGCGGCAAGCACGTAGTGGGACTTATGGTATTGTCTGTCCAATTTATCAACATCAATAACCAAAGGTCTGCATAAATAAGCCCCAATAAAAAATAAAAAAGTACGTGTACATTTTTGGCAAACTGATCACGGCGATCTCGTAAATTGTAGTGACAGAACGAATGTCTTTTAACAAATACAAAAATCGAAACGGCCAACTTCAAAAGAACTTTGGGCTGAGATTACTCCCGGTCCTGATTGGACACATTGGAGAGCCGTGCAATTGTGTTTACGTTCTTTTGTTAATACAACGTTTCTTTACAAAAGAATTTAGTTTCGTACAAATCCTTTTTTGGGTCGATTGCTATTAGTACCTTCACATGCTTCATGATGAGGAAAATCCATTCTGTTTTGACGCTGATCATATAATTACAGTCTGGTTGCTCCGTAACTTACAGCAATAGTATGTAACTATATATTATTAATAAAGAAAACATTCAAATCAAAATATGTATTCTTTTGGAACGAAGTTCCTTATGGGACGATGCGGAGGAGTACCCTAACCGGGAAAAAACGTCCGTAACGTAAGATTTTTATAAGTAATTCGCATAGTGTACGACAAAAAATAACATATTTTTTTAACATTCATTGACCACGATCTCAGAGCGTTCGTTTGCGCAATACACTAACTCTTATGCAAACAACCGTGAATGAAGTGTACCACATTAAGTTCGGACGTTACCGAATGACCGTGAATTGTTGCGAAAACTCCAGTTTTACTTAAAATTAATATTTGTATAATTAGGAACTTCGTTCCTATCCGGTGTCCCACGACACCACACATCTTTTTTAAGTATTTATTACTGGTGGCCCGAAGTAATTTCCAGTTTTACCAGGTTAGGTGGGCGAGCACGGACTAAGCCAGGAGATATGGGATTTGTTCCAAAGGAAACCTAACATCTCAAGAGCAGCTGCTTCGGGAATGCATCTACTATCGGATCCAAAATTTCAGAAGATCCGGTGATAAATTCAGCGGACTGATATAGTTACACGTCGAACTATTTCTCGTGTTGGATGAGTTCGGTTACCCTATCTATACCTGATAGAGCTGAAGGCGCCTAATAGTAGAGTTAGCGGATCGTATAGAAATATGTGTATTAGCGGTATGTAGAATATTAAGTAAATACTTTTACCATATTTATCATCGATAACTACTTAAATATATAAATTTTGGAGGTTTGATTTTGATTACACGTTACTTTTTTTTTAATATTGAAAATATAACATATGTATGTTAAGTACGTATATTTTGAGAAAAAATCGTACTTGCCTGCAGCATATGTTTTTTTTTTTATGATTGAAGGATTACTGGTGGCCCGGAGGCCTTTCCAGTTTCACCAGGACAGGTGGGCGAGCAAAGGCTCAGCCAGGAGGGGTGGGATTTGCTAACAGCTACCCGAGCGCCTCCGAAGGAGACCTAACAGCTCAAGAGCAGCTGCTTCGCGAATGAATCTACTACCGGATCGGAATCGCGACCCGCTGAGAAGATCCGGCGAGAAACTCAGCGAGCTGATTCATGGGTTAGGTTGCACGGCGAACTCTTTGTCGAGTTCGACAAGTACGGTTACCGGGGTCCCTAAGCCTGCTCCTAGTGTTAGAGCTGAAGGCGTCTAATGCAAATGTTATTGGATCTGATGGATCCGTAAGGACGTGGCAGCATATGTACGGCAGCATCGTCGCATCAGTTGGTTCGAATACACAAGAAATCTTATTATTTAAACCACGCCGATTTCATATTCAAATAATTACATTTTAAATAAAATAAAAAGTCTATATAACTAAATAACTTAATTTAAGAGTGAAACATTACCTTTATTTCACTGCGTATTTCAACTAAAGCCTTAAATCTCCATTCGTAACGGAAAAGGCCATTTTCATTTGGAACGCAAATTAGGAACAATAAAACAATAAGTTAAGGTTTCAATTGTAAATCTATTCATATCAATCTTAACCCAGCTGCTGCATTGAAATTCGCAATTAACTTGAGGTAAAATAAAGCGGGAATAATATGGGACAATTAAACATTGTTGGGTACAATGGGCTCAGTTTTTTATGTGTTGTACAATTGCTTACTGTAATGAACGGTAATGTGAGAAAGGAGGATCCTAAAAATACCTGGATGAATAGTTTTGAAAGAGGATGTACGAGAGACGAGTATGACTGCAGCGATGACGCTCATAGGCTTAAAAAAAAAAGAGGATATTTGCACTGACCCCTTATAATGTGAGTTACAAGAACAAGAAGAAAAAGGTGAATAGTTTATTCTAATTTGCGAGAATGCCATAAATAAGAGCGCCTAGTCGGGCTTTGAGTGGAACCCAATTAAAAATTCGACCCCATATCCGTCATATCTATTATTTCCACCACCCGTTACATAATTTATAGTAATTTTCTTCGATATTTCACGTAATTTGTGATTAATAAGGTCTGCTTTCATTTCAGGACATGTAATAATAGTATTTTTGTGTTATAATAGTGAAATAAATCAAAATGAAGGGATCGAGTCGATCCATCATACGGGATCCCGCAGACTGACGGCGCGGATCGCTTGAAATTCCCGAATATTGCTGGTTTATTACGGTTTATAGTAAAAAGGAGCTTGTTGCCAACCTATTTTATTAGTTAGATAAACTGAGAAATCTCAATAGAATCTCCAGATATGGAGTTGCTAGTTTAACTACATGCACAACAAAAAGGTATTAGTAAAAAAAAAAAGACAAGACAAAAGAATTAGACTTCTTATAAGAAGATGACACTTAAGAGGCGCTTAAGAAATGAACCATTATCTATGCTCAGTACTAGACGTCATTGGATCGCAAACAAAATTATAAAAGCCTCGTAAATTTTATATGATTATGCGTCGTATTTTTCCTTGCAAGAGGTGCTACTCTCAATATTTTAAAAATGTAAAAAGGATCGCGTGGTAATGTATATCCAAAATATATTACAATAATTGTTTGTTTTATAACAGTAATTAATCTATATAAAAACAGACATATTGAGCAAATGTCTATGTTTTTCTCAATTAAGCCAGCAGATGCTGCATTGATCGCGCTCATATTGAATTACTGCTACCCATTTCAAGCCATTAATATAGATCGCTTTGACCTCGGGATCGGCGGTCGAAGTATTTGAAAGATTGAGTTTTCTTACTTAAATAAGAACCGTTTTCGTAACAGAACTAAAAAAACGAAATAACATTAATACTACATTTTAAACACTCCAGGTATATTTACTATACATTTTAACCGTAAAAATCCAAATGTGTTCAAACGAGACTCTGGTGGACCAACTGGAATGTTATATGGATGATTTAGTGGAGTGTTTCGAAGATTTTGTCAAGAAATCACTGATCGTCATCACTATTGCTGTCGGTGCTGTCATTGGACTTCTGGTTTATGTGCTTAAGATGGTCACTGAAAGACAGGAAACTCTGGGTCACGCCAGTAAGTTTTTATTGCGTCATATGTGGCATCGATATCGTGGCTGCCCTTTGATATATAAAACTAAAAACTGCCGCCAACTGTGATACAAGATTGAAAGTTCAATTGGATTCGACATACGAGTATTCAGCCGCGGGTAATCTTCATACCTGCGGATACTTTTACCAGTACTATTAAATCCATTATGTTCACTTGTCTCATTAAATCTTGTCTACCCTACGTGGATTGGTTGAAAACAAAGTCAAGGTCATCAGCGACGCCTGATTTAATTTAAGGTAACGAATTAATACCTAACTCTGCTCTGAAGAATTGTTCAAGATGATCCCTTTATCCCCTTTTTTATCGTCGCATCGAACACCACTGAAGCAGAATTCTTCTAAACAAACCGTTTCCAACGATCTTTCGTGCCACCTACCATATTTTCCAATATTTTCCCAATCGTTATTTCATTAAAACATTTGCATGAATTCATTTATTTGTATTTCTGTCCTATCCTATCCACGCAACACAACTAATAGCTTCCGCATTTGTCGATGTTATCTAAAGCATAATGGTATACTTGAATCACAATGCTAATTAGTCAGTCCAAACTAGAGGACCTAGATGACCTTGTCATCACGATTCGCCTATTTGTAATCTACCGATATCTCATTCTCTCGTTACGGGCATCGTCCGTAGACGATCAGCGGAGAATAGAAGGCGGGAGAGTACTTAGACACCCTATAAGGTGATTATTGGACCTGGGGCTTTGTTGATGTCTCGCTCCCGATCAGATCAGATGTTACAAGAGGCTTAGCCCTTTAAAGAACTGAGAAAGTGCCTTATTCTATTATTCTAGACAGATTTTAATTATTATTTTTTGTTTAAGCAAGGTGAACGAAGGGCATCTGATATAAATTGGGTACCGTAGCCCATAGATGTTACTGTCGGCGATGCTTCAATTACACTGCAGGTGTCAATAACGTTACCCAATAAATTATATTCAGACTATTTAAGGACCACTATTTTCCAGCCTCCAGTTATCCTTTAGATAGACGATACTAACGAGAAGGTGATGATACAGCCAAATTAAATTATAGCTTATAAAACAAATGAATATTTACCCAATCTTCATCAGGTATCGTACCAGCTCTAGAAGATATTTCTCGTCAGAGGGGTAATTCATCTGACCCAAATAACATTCCTACAAAAACAAGTGAAACAGTACTACATGACTACGAAGCAGAAAATACGCTGAATGCAGAAATCGATAAGAACGCTAAGAATTCTCCAGATACATCTACTAAATCAGCCAATACGTTACCGTTGCCTGTAATCGCTGGTTTTGACGCGAAAGTATTGAGAGATATCGGGTTATCCGACTGTTCTAAAGTGAGTTTCTATTGGAATTAAAATTTGTCGTATTTATGTGTACAAATATACTACGATATCAGCTCCGTGATGATAAAGCCTATAGCATCAGCTTGCTGAGTTTCTCCCCGGATCTTCTCAGTAGATCGCGATTCTGGTTCAGAGATAGATGCACTCGTGAAGCATATTCTGTCCTTCAGCTGTTAGGCCACCTTTGCGGGCGCTAAGGCTAAATTTCCCCACCTGGTTGAATTACTGAGTTTGTCAATCTGTCCTAGTCATGCAGAAAATTCTCTGGATCAGCCGCAACACTTCCACCTGAAACAAAAACTTAAGACACTAGTGTATGGTAAAGAGTGATATTAATGGGTCTATTAATAGTGATAATAATGAACCTATTAATATCACGTTTGTAATATTACACACGGAAAATTGTATATTTGCCAATTAATTAAATTGTGTATTATGAATAGTAAACCTTTTACTAGGCGATGTCTTTTAACGTCACTTATTTTTTTAGAACTGCAAAGAAAGAATACTATCATTGAATCGTGATCAAACTAATAAAAGGTGAGATTTGAAACAGATACATTCTAAATATTCTTATCTACCTACATGTATAACTGGGTGTCTGAAATAACAGGAATTGATCTGAATGATGAAGTATCCTTAAAAATGAATTAATATTTTCCGTATATATAAGTTTACAAGCGGCCCGCTCCGACTTCGCTCGGGTCTTTAACAAAAATTTCAACGATATTTGACGTTGTTTTATGTTTTTAAATAAAAAAAACACTTATTGCGGCATAACTATAAAAGTTAGACATATGCTGTCGCGATACTTTTTGTAAATAATAATGTGGTCTACAAAGTCGTAGTACATTATTTTATTCTATCATCAATAGTTTTCGCAGCGTACAAGATCTAAAGAATATTTTAGGTAATTTTTCAACTTAGGTTACATTATTTGAGTTTTAGTAAGGATCTCTAATTTTCGGGGATAGCGTAGCTTCCAAACTGTGAATTTTTCCAAATTTTTCAAATCGGTTCAGAGCCTATTCAATAGAAACAAACAATCAAACCTTTTCTCTTTATAATATTAGTATAGATTGCATACAATTATTAATTACGTAAAGTTACTGGTTTTTTAAAGTCGCTTTTTTCACAGAAGCACGAGCTTAAATAAAAATCAAGATACAGTCGAAACAAAAACCTCTTGTTGTTCCATTTGCTGTGAAGATGAAGATACAGAAAAAATAAAAGAAAAAGATATATTGTTACCCAGTTAATCACAATACGTTTTCATATTTATCCAGCTGAACAAAACGTCAAAAAGTTCTTCAAAGATTTGATCTTAGTGAACCAGACGACTTAACTGTGTCTTTTGGAAACAAAAAAGTCAGGGTTTATTTTTTTCTTACTTACCAAACTTATCAAAAGCTTTGTTTCATGTTAAAAAAAATTTGATGATTACGATTATTACTTCGGAATTGGCAAAGTGAAAGGATATTTTTATCTGCAACTCATGGATACATCCTAACCTAATTACCATTGGTATTTCTTTGAAGAAAAATATACGCTTAAATCAAACTTTACGGAACGCACATTTATGAAATACCTATGTATTGTCTTAAAATATTTAAAAAGAATATGTTTCTGATTGTTTTTACTGTGTACGTTTTGTACAGTTATTTCTGAAATAAATATAATAATATTTGAGGTGTTTTAATTTTATATTATATAGAAAATTAGTAATTAGATCCCTGTTTAGATGCTTTTTGAGTAACCGGTAAGTATGCATAATGAAATTGATAACCATATCTTTATGAAACATATATCTTTATTTGGACCACGAATATTAGACATTATTATTATATTACATTTTATTTATATTTATTTAAAATCTTATTAATTACATAATATTTCTTAAAAAAGATATTAAAAATACAATTTTTAGAAACAATATAAAATTAGATTGCCGCTGATGGCGGTGTCTACGACACAAGCCACCAGTGGTTAGGACTCCAGAGTGCGAAACTTATTATTATTATTATGATATGATATTATTACATCACATTTAGAGCACCTATAATCAATCGATCATACACACTTTAGTCAATCGATTAAATAACACCTGAACTACGGTAATTTAAAATTAAAGTAGCTGTATGTACATTTTTATATTGAGGGTCGAGGTAAGAAGCATCTCATATAGGGGACAAGTTGAAAAAGTGTCCGCCCATAAATAACACACTTAATATTTAAGATATCCGCCTGTAAACAGCAAGTTATTGTTGCAAGACTCACATAAATATCGCTAGGGTATCTTCTTCTTCTTCTTTGTCGTTTCCTCATTACTGAGGGTCGTGACCACCTTGGTCCAGTTTTTGCACCAGCTTCCTCCAATGTTGCCTGCATTCGGCCTGCTTAATGGCGCCCGGGACGCTGGTGTTTGTGGCCTCCTTGATAATGTCCGTCCACCTGGTTGACAATCTTCCTCGACTTCTCTTTCCTTCCACGTGACCTACAACTATTAATTTTTCCAAGTTCTCAGGATTTTGTCGGGCCACGTGTCCGAGGTATAGGAAGTGGAAATTATTATATCAGTTTTAAATAGAGTTAAGTGTGGTATTTAATGGGGGTGTTTTTAGAATCTTTCCACTGGGCACTTTTGTGCTACCTCAATAAGCTTCCTTTTAGTAGACACTTTAATTACACTGAGATGATACTCCTTAGTTCTATCTTCCATGATTTTTGAGTATTTCTGTAGTGTAGAATGTCACTGTCAAATAATTGATTTTCTCTCTTAACCTCTAGCGCTGTTTTTGTATTAACTTTCAACATCAAATCCAAATTAAAAAGTCAATTTAAGGGACATTTTCCAAAATGTTGGATGGAATTATAATATAGCTTAATGAATATGGCGAGGCGACGCACATACACAGGTTTTCTTTAGTTAACTGAATAAAATATTTTTTACCCAAGCGATTCGCGCACCGTCCTTCAACGCAATGTTAATAATATTACAAAATGTTTTTGTAAAAAACTACATCGCTATCAACTTATATAAGAAAACATACGCTACAAACAAACAGGAAAACAATAATTTTATAAAAAAAAACAATTATAATGTTATTTCACGTTGGTAAATAATAGTATAATTAAAACGATTGACCTTATTGAATTTTCTTTCAGGTCATTACTCTCACAGTCGCCATCCGCCATTCCAGCAAACCAGTCAAACGTCAGAACTCAGAGACACCCAGAAACTGTACAAAATGATGATGCAGTACCTTGGAGCCGTTTATTCTGCTATTAACGTCAACTATTTAGCTCTGGCAACTGTTTTCGTAATAGTACTTCTGAGCTATCTCATACCTGACGTATCTCAGAAAATACATGCAAACAATGAGCTGAAGGATGTTAAGAAAGTTGTTAATACTATAACGGTTAGAACAATGAATATTATAGAATTTAAGTATAATAATGTACAATAGGTATCTCCTTATTTTATTAGTATGTATTTATGTTTGAATTAGCATATTTTTGCAGGTAGAATTTAGGCTTGCATCATTTTTTAAATTTGTGCTCTTCTGGATAGTTTACGGTTTCAATTTGGTTTATCTTCAAAATATCCTTATTATGTCAATTGTTGATCGAAGTTATTATGAAAGTAAATTTTCAATTTTATGTAAATAATAAGAATTTATAATGTCTCAGTTTAGTGTTCAATGAAAAATAATGTTCCTGTGCTAGATTAAACATGAATATCACAGACAGGACAGCAATGATTGGCGAAATTCGCTCGAGACCATTGACTCCGCACTTCAGCTGCTTCGTCTTACATTGCGTAGAGTGCAAAAAACATTAGTAAAATTTAATTTTCGATTCGATTCGTTTTCCTTACATGAGGTTATGCTTCAGCCGATTCGTTTTAATGAGAAGCGAAATTTTAAGAAAGTTTTTGTCAATTTACAGACAGAAATAAATCGAGCCGGAGCTGCTTGCTTGTCAGCAACCGACGAGCTTTGCCGTCTGAGGTGTTCAGTGCTAGATAGTACTACTGAAACTGTTAGTTTATTTAGTGCCTCTTTAACTAGCATAGATGGACAGGGGCCTTGACAGGCCACTTTGGGTTGCGTGATTGCTAGAGCACGTAATGTGAATTTGCCCTTCCTCGAAGAATTTGAATTCGTCGTGGCCTAAAGGATAAGACGTCCGGTGTATTCGTATGAAGCGATGCACCGGTGTTCGAATCCCGCAGGCGGGTACCAATTTTTCTAATGAAATACGTACTCAACAAATGTTCACGATTGACTTTCACGGTGAAGGAATAACATCGTGTAATAAAAATCAAACCCGCAAAATTATAATTTGCGTAATCACTGGTGGTAGGACCTCTTGGGAGTCCGCACGGGTAGGTACCACCGCCCTGCTTATTTCCGCCGTGAAGCAGTAATGCGTTTCGGTTCTAAGGGTGGGGTAGCCGTTGTAACTATACTGAGACCTTAGAACTTATATCTCGAGGTGGGTGGCGCATTTACGTTGTAGATGTCTATGGGCTCCAGTAACCACTTAACATCAGGTGGGCTGTGAGCTCGTCCATCCATCTAAGCAATAAAAAAAAA